TGAGTTGTTTTACCTGTCAGACCAGAATGAGGTGTACATGCTTCCTGGGCTGGGTGCATGGTATGGAAGTTGCCTGGTCGCAGCATCCAAGGCAGCCTCTGCTTAATCTACGGCATTAATCAACAAGTCACTTCACAATCTCTGTTTGTCGCAGCTCAATCTGTGGCATTTATAATTATGCTATAGGTCTTGTCAGGGTGGTCTGTTTAATTTCATCAAGCGAAGTCCCTTTGCAAGCTTGATGCTTGCCAGCATCTTTCAAGGATTTTTGCAGCCGCCAGCATGGATGCTCACTTGCCTTGATCCAAGAGATTAGTTCACTATGCTGATTGCAATGAAAGGGCAGGAAGAGATTTTTGACATAGCCGTTGAGTCTCTGGGAGATTGGCATACGTCAGAGCACGTCACTGCTGTTGGTTGTAACCCTGGATATGCAAGGAAGTTCAGCTGTGTTGAGACTTCGTCAGTCGTCCTCAAGCATACCCATAGGGACCCACTGGTGTGCTCTGAAAGTTTTGACCTCAGTTGCTGCCTGCCAATGGTCTGGCTTGCTCACAGACCATTTTTGGGGGAGTCTGGCTGCCAATTTCATGTGAATACGCATCTGCTAACCCCTTTTCTCTGCCCCAGCTGCTGCTCATGCTCTTCCTTCTTTTATGACAGGATCCGAGACGAAGCCATCTGCACCACCATCAACCCGAGAGCAAGTCGCAAGCATACTCAGAACAAAGCTTCCTTCTCCTTCGTCCTATGCCAAGAACTCTGCATCCAACGGCTGGCCAGACCCACGTCACAAGGCTCTGCTCAAGATGCTGCGCACGCACCGCCCGGCAACACTTGCCGATGAGACGTTTGAGCAGCTGCCAGTTGGGCTTCTCAGTCCCATTTTGGCTCAGGTCGAAGAGGACTGCGCGTACGCAGATCCACTAGCCGAGGACACCGATTTTGCAGTGATGTTGAGCGAGGAGATGTCCGGGACATTCGCGGACGAGGACAGCAGGAGAGAAAAGTTTTGCGACATGCTGAGCAAGGAATTTTTTATGCCCCTTAACCGGGCCACAGTCGGGTTAGGTGTGACAGATGGGACGGCGATGCTTCCGGTGGGGGTTGCCAGTGCGATGGCTGTGAACACTGAGATCAAACTGGAGGTCGGGCAGGGGGGAGGAGATCCGCGGCTTCAGAATGCAACATACGCCGCCCACAATGCAAGTCTTCAGTACGGGTCCCTGGGTCGCGTCAGCTACTGTCCAGCGCTGCTGATTGAGCTCGCAGGGCCAAACATGAGTTTGTCAGGCTTTGCTTTGGGCCAGTACGCTTGCTGCGATCAGCTATCGCAGATGGTGTCGCTCCTCAGGCAGCCAAAGAGCGAGATTGCTATTGGAGCGGCACGTGCCATCTTCGCCATTCGGAGAGCCTGGCCGGCCCTGCAGGTAGGTGGCTGTCTCACCTTATTGCGGGCTGGATACTTCTCGATGTTATCAAGTCTTCAGAGATCAATGATAACAGTCGGCAATGTCTCTCCTTCGTCTCAGGTTGCCCCTTGGTTACTACACAACGAAGAGCTTGCCTCTGATGATCTGCCTTTGATTTTTTAATCACTGGCTTCTTTGGGAGGCTTTGATGGAGATGGGCCGGTCTGAAAAGCGATGTGTTATGTCTGTGTATGGGGGCCAAGTGTAGAAACCACTACGTCCCTACGTCTCCGAATGTCGATCTCAGGGGAGACTTGCTGAGTCAAGTCTGCTTGGTCAAAGACTTCCTGCACAATCGATGTTGCACCCTGGCCAGTAAGGCCGATGCAAATGAGGACATATTCTCCGCAACAGTTCTGCAAGTGAAGGAAGAAGCCTATCACCATGGATGAACGCTTCTGGGACTCGGCGCACTGAATTTGTTGTATCTCAAGCAGCTGTAAGTCTCTAGTCGCATACAATCAGAGTTTTCCATCTTCGACACAGGAGTACTACCAGAAGCTGGCAGAGACTCTGAAGGACTACTGGAGGCAGTCGGAGACTCCAATGCCCAATCAACAGCTGGAGTTTCCGTACCCAAACTTGTTCAAGCCAGACGGAGGCGACTCAACCCAGTCATTGCGATACCTCAAACGTCTAACGACTTACACCTTTGAGGCCGAGAGCATGAGCAAGAAGGTGTTTGTGAAGTACTGCAAGAGGTGAGGGATATCCTTTTTGAGGTCTGGCATCCTTTCATGGCGTCACAGAGTTGCAGCACATGAATTTTGACAGTGCAGAAAATTGCCGTACAGACACATGCTGGTAATTCTCCGAACTGCTAGTTGTGGGCGAGTCACAGGTTGCGCAGGCTTCAAACCACGTTGGTGGTTTGAATCTTTGTGGTATGAGGAAGGTGGTATGGCTGTGTCTTACCTGAAATCTTGGGGACGTTTCGTTGCACTTATACTCGGACTCTTCTGTGAGGACCCTGAGTGACAAGCATGAGTGTAAAGCTTCTTCATCACGCATTGGCAGCGACTCTCTGATCGGCGGGTTGCCCAGATGCCAGGTAGAGATTGGGGTCATTGTGCCCACGTGCATGCAGATATTCGCGGGAGGCCCATCTCGTGGTTCAGGAGGCGGGGCACGCGCCCCGCCTGCTATGCGTTCAGTTGCTGCCTGGCCGGTGGGTGATGGTAGTGATGGAGTACCTGGAGACCGCTGTGACGTGGAGCGACTCCATGGTGAAGCCGATCGAGCAATTAACTGCAGCAGTGAGGGTGATGCACGATGCGGGGTTCGTGCATGGCGATTTGAGGAGCCCCAACGTGCTGGTCCAAGACGAAAAGGTACGCTCTTTCCCCGTCACTCTTCATCCTGACAAGCTTCAGGAATCGCTTCTAACGCACATGCTGGAAGCCATTGTGCATAAGACGAGCACGATTTGTTGGCATGTAAGCCGGCTCTTCTAGGAAAGGCAAACGCTTCTCACGAGGAACTGCCTCGCTGCCAGCTTTGTGGCAAGGGCAAGGCAAGGCGTTCATTTGAAATGTTGAAGAATCTGTTGGCGAAAAGCCAGGTCGTGGCGCTCCAGTTGCGTGACAGCCTGGCAGGATAATTTCCGCTTTCAACGGCCTTGTTGGGCTGATCTCGACGTGTTGAGCGTCGGTGCTCCTTAGAGCTTAGAATCTACTGTCTTGACATTACACCGAGAGTACCGCGGTCATGAAGGGGCTATGTTCAGATGACACACGCAATTGGCTGAAAGCAGATGTATTGGTTGAATGCAGAGCTCGGTAAACCAGAGTCATAGGCTCCTCTCATGTGTGTCATCAAAGCTGCGAGTGAATGTTTATCTGTCATCCCCTTGAAATTGACTTCAGGAGTCTTTGCGCCTCGTGCTTATTGCTACCAACGGCGCTTCCTAAGGATCACCAGGTGCAGGCTCGTATGGTTCAGATGTGTTGAATCAAGTCATTTAAGCTTTACAGGTACATCTGGTGGACTTTGAATGGGCTGGGAAGGAGGGGCATGTGAGCTACCCGCTCTTCATGAATCGTGCAACCGAGATGTGGCCGGAAGGGGCGACTGACGGGCAGTTCATCAGGAAGACGCACGATGCTGAGTGGGTACGGAGACTACGAGCAGGAGATGGTTAGTTATGCATAGACCCACCGGTTTGTGTCACGAGAGGTTGGAATGAGGGTTATCATCATTGTCGGGAGTTATCATCTGGGGGATGATGTTCGGTAGTTCTTGGGCCACGTTGCCGCAAGCTGGCTTCATAAGCAAGTTCCCCGTGTCTCGCAACAAATGGTCGCACAGCTGAGCACTATAAGACGGTCTGGCTGGCAAGTTCGCCTCGGCACCAATGAGGATCGAGGCCTTCCTGCAGTGAAGGACCTTCTTGCAGCGAAGGACCGCGTGTGTGAGAGCATGCCCGAGCAACCGATCAAGTTCGTTCAAGTTCATGCTGGCTCCCGTGGGAGAATTTGACCCCTCTTGTGGGACTTGCAGAGAGTCGTTTTCTGCTTTGAATTGTGCGGTTCTGGCACTGCACTCTTTGATTGGCTCCATTACAAGTCCGCCTCTCAGTTCAACTACCAAGCCAATCGCCAACAGGTCGGTCGTTCAAGTTGATGCGAAAGAAACGCCGCAAAACGATTAAGGTGTAGGCATCCTTCTCCTTCAAAGCACTTTGCGCACTCTCTCGAGGGATGCAAGATGTACACGGATTGCCATAGTATGTACACTTTCACATCCCCAAGCTTTGCGGCATAGAAGCTTGATGTACATGAATGGAGGAATCATGTGCACTTTTCATTTTCGTACCATAATTTAATGTCTGCAAGTCGGAGATGATGTTGGAAGATCTCCATTTCTCAATCGACCGATGGGTGCGCTCCATACCCGCAGCTTGTCGGGATGGAACCGACTCGAGGGACCACGTAAAGTGGCTGAAGCAATTCTTCTCGCGCTCAAATGCAAATCGACAGCCGCCATACGGCGCGCTTTTCAGACACATTGTAGCTGCTAGCGCAAAGACCTCAGAGTTGATAATCTGCACTGCTTTGAAAAGCTTTGATATGTAGAATGGTGGTGAAGATTGTCGGGCGACCATACCGGATACTTTCTGGCATGTTGTAGTGGATAGCAAGGACGAGTCAATATGCACGGGCTTTGAAGCTAAGTTTGATGTATAGACTAGATGGTACAGTTCGTCAGGCGACCATTCCTCACGGTTTTGAAGCTTTTACGTATAACATAATGGTGCAGATTGTCGGTCGACCGTGCCGCGCGCCTTCTTGGATTAAAGAGGCCTGACAATATGCACCGCTTTGAATCTTTCATGTGTAGCACGATGGTGGAGATTGATGCATTGTATTGCAATTGTGAGGACTCGACAATTTGAAAGGTTTTTAAGCTTGCATCAATAACATGATGGTGCAGATTGTCAGCCGACCACGGCCCACGCCGCACGCTTACGGAATCATGGGAGACCACTCAAGATGTTTTGAGATGCCCTAATCTTCATGGTGTATCCCCAAAGGCTGCTGCTGGTGGGGCCAACGCTGCAGACAGTGTCCGTCCCGCACGAGCCGCGTCAAATACCGCATGACGATGGCTGTCCCGCCCAATGAACCCGAGATGCGTGCTCAAAAGTTTTTGCCTTGAAGATTGCGGTGGAATGCGGATCATGCTCGTTCGTCGCATCTTCAACGGAAAGCAACTTTTGCCCTGATTAGAGGGCGCACATCGCAGGTCGCCGGCCTTGAAAGCTGACGCGCGCCGCACGACACAATAGGCTCCCGTCCAATAGGCGATTCATTGCAAGGAGCTAGATTTTCTGCTTCATGGAAATTCATACTGTTCTCAAGTGCGTGAAGCGGCACTATGAAGGCCACCGTATCACATGCACCAGCTTTTGCACTTGGAAGACGTGCTACACAGCATCCACAGAGACGCCGAATATCCGCCCCACGCGAGGCTCCATGCCATCAGTGTAAATTGACGGATCCATAAGTTCAAGGCGCTGTATGGTTTTAGGGTCGAACGGGGCAACCTCACCGATGCCGCCCGGCCGCAGGTTCAGGAGGCTGTCCACCTGAACCACAATTTCAGGGAAGTCCTTGCGGGACTGGAGGGCCGTCAGGAGGTTGTGCTTGTCGTTGGGATCCTGAAACCACTGGTTCTCATAATCCGCTTTCAGGTCGAGGTAGTTTGCGGTGCGGGGAAAGCGGCGTTTGAGGTCCTCGGCCTGCGCCACCCGGTATGTGATCATGATCGTCGTGATGGGGCGGTCGCTTGCTTGCCAAAGCTCATCCCCAACCGCCCCGCAGAAGACCGTCTTGCCGGTGTTCACGCCCGACCGGATGCCGAGCAAGGGGAACTTCCCCGCAATCCACCTGCAAGTGTCGACAGAAGGATTGTTGTGTCAACCCGCCCTGGCACGTGTTGAAGTGCCTGTCACTCTTTGGCGAAAAAAAGAAGGCTTGCGAGTGCTCAAAGTGCCGCCGAGTGTCGAATTCAGGGGAGACTTAAGGCCGACACTCTAAACGGAGGTGGGTTATGCCTTGACCTTAATCTCGTACGGGCTGAACTTCACCGCAAGCAGCTCGGAAGGGTGAGTAAGCGCTTAAAGTACTCTTGTACGGCCTGAAATCAGTACCATGTGGCCCTGCCCTAGTCTGAAGTGGAAACGTGACATACAAACATTGGTCAGAATGCCTTGGAAGAGGACCCCGTGCCTTCAGTGCGCGTCCAAGAAGAAACAAACAGCCCCTTGATGGCCCAAAATCTGGACCTGTGACGGAAGGACATTCGTCAGATTGTGCACGACTTGCGGCAGAGGGCGGCAGAGGGCCAAGAAGCGCCCAAGCTAACTAGCACCTGCAGGTACCGCGCGCGACCTGAATTATAAAGACGTGGCAAAAGAAAAAGCTCCTCGCAGTAGGTGGGCGTCCAGATGGCCGAACCTAGCCAACACTCACAAAAAGTCCCCGCCGCTGACCTGAAAAATAGACACGTGGCAGCGAAAAAAGCACCTAGCAGTTGGTGGGCGCCCAAAAGCACCCAATCCAGCCAGCGCTCGCGAAACATTCCCACGCTGATCTCTCAATGTCGACACGTGGCAGAAGAATATCTGTAGACCTGTCAAAAGCGGCAAAAGACTCTGATGGTACATTTTAAGCGTACATACAGTCGGTGGTCGCGAACACCCTACGCTGTCCAAAAAGTAGATTTGTGGCCGAGACAAAAGCTTGTCACGCAAAAGCTTGACACGCAAAACATTGAGGGCTCCCCGCATCACAATGGGCACGTATTTCCTCTTCCCGCAGTAACACTCACTCGTTGGCAACCGTGTTCAGCTTCATCAGATCGTCCGGCTTCCTCAGCCCCGCCGCTACTTCGGCCACGAGCTCAGGGGTCGACGCGCCAGGGACCCGCTTGAGGTGCTCCATGTCTACCTTGACCGCGCCAGTCTCATACGAGATGTTATCCTCGAACAGGTCCCCCAGGCAGTACGCCCTGCTGACACAGGGGACGTCCGAGTCCCCACCCTCGGTATTTCGGCTGAAACACAGAGCATAGATCTTGCCGTTTGGATTGAGATGGCAGATCAGTCTCTGACGGTTCTCGTGGATCCGACCCGTGTAGCACGGCTCTGTGCGATCGCTGTAGTTGTAGCGATCAGGGCCCTCCTCGTAGGCGCTGGGGTGCAAGCGCTCCCGGAGCAGCGCCAGCATGCGCGCCTTGACGAACTGGTCATTCGTCGAGCTGCGCTCAGTGCCCCTTTCAGACATCACTCGAGGGTTTCTAAACCTTTCGTGGAGTCTTTCGGGCACTTCAAACGGCAGCTTGACCTCTTCACGGGCCTGTAGCACAGCACAAGGGCAGCTTGTTAGGAGCACGTTCGTGCCAGGTCATCTACATCGCCTTGTCAAAATGAGAGGAGGAAGCCAGGAAGGAGGCCAAGGTGGTTCGTTTTTGGCGACCACCTGAACTGGAAAAACTTGCGCTGCCTTTCAACCAAGGATTGTGTGAGAGCAACAGATTGCAACAAAAGCCGAGCGTCTTCGAACGTAGCGATCCCATCAAGCTTCAACGCTGAAGAGGCGATCAGAAACGAGGAGTGCGCCACAAGCAGGGTCCTTTCTTCCGCAAAGATGAAGGCCGCATTTCAAGCAATCACTGCTCAGGCTCGCAGCAAAACCAGCAGGATGTACCAAGAAACGATGTATTACTTTCTAAAGAATCTAACGGGCCTTTCCTGGTACATCTTGCGGGCATGGCCGGGCAGCACATCAAGCGCCAAATCCGTTTCGTACCAGGAAGGATGAGTAACTCTTCAAAAATCGAAGCCGTTTTCTGGTACAGCCTTCATATGACCGACCAGGCAGGTGTGGGGG